GCACCTCGACCCCTGACCGGTGGGGGCGCGGCAGACCGCGCGCACCGACCACCGGCACCACCAACCACTCCGCTTCTCTGCATCCTTGTACCCGCGAATGAATCATCTCCTCTGACCACAGGACACTGCGTCTGGGTCCAGACCAGCCGAGTGCCGGCCGCTACTCTTCGATCTCTCGGCCGACGTTTTCGGGGAACTCCCGCCTTGAGGCGGACGCACCCTGTAGTTTTGTACAATTCTACCCCTCCCCTCTGGCCCCGTTACTCTCCCAAAAGGGAAAGCCCTCCGTGCCAATCGGGTGCAGCCCGGTGGCGCCACTGCCCGGGGCGGGGCGGGGCGGGGCGGGGGCCGCCGGCGCCAGCGGGGATGGTTATGACTCAGAGGCGCCAGACAGGCGGGCGCCGCCGGCGCGTCTCCGCCGCAGCATCCCGGGGGCCGGGCCGGAGCAGGGGTGGAGGATGGACCAACCCCCCTGCCTCGCGGCCGCGGCGGGGCGCCGCAGGGCAGCGGGGCTGGGGCGTGGCGCACTCAGGCTGCAGCTCCAGGGTACCAGCGGGGGGGTACTCGTCGGCCAGCACCGCGGCCACAGCGGCCCCGCGCCCTACGGCCCCACTTCTTGTAAGGCGCTGGGGTGGACAACCGCGTAAGCGCCTCGCCCTCGACGCCACACCCCGCGCTACCGTGGTCTACCCACCCCGCTCTCTCTCTCTCTCTCCCTCTCTCTCTCTCTCTCTTCCCCTCCCCTTCCGCTATCACTGTTTATCTGTAGCCGCGCTCATCTGTCTCTGTCCCACGCCCGCCGAGCTCCATCTCCCAGTCTCCTCTCTCTCTCTCTCCCTCTCTCTCTCTCTCTCTTCCCCTCCCCTTCCGCTATCACTGTTTATCTGTAGCCGCGCTCATCTGTCTCTGTCCCACGCCCGCCGAGCTCCATCTCCCAGTCTCCTCTCTCTCTCTCTCCCTCCCCCTTTCCTCCTGCCGTTCGCGTGTCGCCCGGCCTTCCCCGCCGCCCCGCTGTACTTTTATGTATTGTGTGGACGGCGGGGCCGCAGCCCGCGAGCAGCCCCTCCTAGAGCGTAGCGGCGTAGCGCCCTCCCATTCCCCAATTGATACTGCGCGGCACTGTCTGGCCGCCGCGTACCACCCCACCACGCCCCGCCCCGCCCTGCCCCGTCCTTCCACACCCCGACCCGGCCCTGCCGTCTGTTTGCCCTGGCTCAGCTCAGCCTGGCTGTTGTTGGCGCAGCCAAGTGGCTGGCTGGGCCAGGGCTGGGCTTCGTGTCTGCAGCCGCGCCTTTTAGGAGCTTCTCCACCTCCCACCCCCACTCCGCCGCGGATCGCGGATAGACGGAGAGATGCCGAGATTTCCCTCTCTCTCTCTCTCTCTCCGTCTCTTTTTCTCTCTTTGTCTCTATTTCTCTCGCTCTCTCGCATTCACACGGCTCACATCCCTTATTTATCATTTTGCGCGTCCCGGAGGCCGTGAGCCAGCGGTGGAGTGAGGCAAGACGGGCCGGGGACTGGATACGGTGTGCGCAGTACGCAGGACCCGGCAGGACCGGAGTCCGCTCGCCCTCTGTACTCCTCCAGTTGTACAACCGTACCATGTACGATACAGTAGTATCGCGCACTGTACAACAATCGTTATTGTAAAGCTCGAACTTATGGAGTTGCATCCTTAGAACTGTTTTCATGTCGCTCATCCCACAGTTAATAATACAAATTTAACAGTTTAAATCTGTGTTTTTAATTAATCGCATAAAATGCAAAATGTCGTGGACAAGCCAGGGTGTCTTTTACAGGGCGTCGCTCCTCCGAAAAGCCCTTGGCAGACGCATGGCGGGGTACGGGGGTGGGGTAGCAGGCTACACTGCGAAAGAAGTGTTTTCCGATATTGTGTAAAAGTGAAACGACTCAATAAAACACACCCGTAGTTTACAGCACTATTACCCGCCCCGTCCACATCCCCACCACCCCTCTCAGCCCAACACCCCCTCCGAAACTTAGCATCCCCGTCCCCTCCCCTCCGAGTCGTCTAGATGCACCACAAACCCGCCCCCGAGGACGGATGGCATATATACACTTTGCAAAACACTGCGCAAGAAGCAAAAACGCACCAGAGGGACTTTCTGAAAAAGTGTGTGAGTCGGCTTCCCCCACTTGTCTGTCTGTCGGTCTGTCTGTCTGTCTGTCCGCCCTTGCCCCCCCCCCCCCCAGTCTGTCCCTGAGCCTGCCGCCGCACCCCTCTCCAGCTCATCCTCAGTCTGGTGTCAGAAAGAGCCTTTCATTAAAATATTTATCTGTGCAGAAATATCACATTTTGACTTCCGCGCCGAGCCGGAGAGACCGGAGGCAACGGGGCAAAATGCAGAACGATGGAGATTAGTGAAAATAGAGGGTGGGGGAGCGGGAGAGGAAGATGAGCCAAAGGAAGAATGGATAGAGGGGGGGGGGTGCGATGTGCGAAAGAGAAAAGGAATCTGGAGGATCGTGGTGTGGCGGAGCCCCTCTCTGGCGGCGGGGCAGGGTGCGGGCGCGGGGGCCTGCTCGGACAAACGAAGATAAATCCGTGCATTATCGAGCTCACGCAAAGTGGAAACAATTAGGACGCTGCTCATACTCCCCCTTCTTCCACCGACTTAGCCTTACAAACTCTTCACCACTCTGAAGGGGGAAAATAATTTATTTTGCTATTCAATAAAGAGCAGGGTTCGTACCGACGATCGTATAGCTGTCGACTACGCCGCCTCGCGTATGTCCTCACAACCGTTTTGTCCTGATAATAGTGTCGCTAAAGCCAACTAAATGTTAGTTCCGCCAACCCAGCTTTGATCTTGTTGCGGTCGGCGCACGGCGCCGGCAACGTAGGCAACCGTTCCGTCACGCGCTGCTTCTTCCCCCGGGCCGTGACGTCATTCAGCAGGCAGGAGCCCCAGGAGCCAGGCCACGGACCTCAGAGACGCACAACTCGAGACCGAACCAGTTAGCCAGCTGTGTTTCGCTGTCGCGACGCGACAGGCGACAGCGCTCGCACTCTCGGTGTACAGAGTCAACCTCCAACCTTATAACCTAACCTAGTGGCCACTCTAACCTCAACGACAACGCCTCGACGACGCACGCCGGTCCGGAGAGAACGTTTGAAGGGTGTGTAATGGCGCTCAGCGATATGGTGAAGGTTTATTATTTTACCTGAATTCTTACGGTTCCTTGAACCCCAGGGCCATCGTTAAAGGGGCAACAACAACAGACAGATGATCGGCTACCTGCACAACCTGCCACTATGCGCACCACGATCATCAACGCCTACAAGCTGACCCACCCAAGCTTATTTCGTCGGCGGCGCCGTTCCAGCCACATCAGATGTTACCGTATACTGATATAGGATACATGTGGTGAGTGCGGCGTTACTCGCCTCTTCACAATCCCTGGGCCCTGGGTAATTGTATGTTCTGTGCGCACATTTAGGTTATGTGTTTTCTATACCGGTATTTCTTGTGCTTGTGAATGTTAACTGTAGGTGTATTTGTGTTTATGCACACTTATATGTACTGTAGGTTTATCACTTAAAGGCAAGACAAAACAACACGTATATAGTTGTTCCTTCTTATTCATATTCTGGTCAAAGGTCTAACTCTTTTACATCAGCTAATTTTGATGTTTTAGTAACTAATACTGGAATGTTGCTTAGTGATAATTCATTTGTATTTGTGCGGAGTTTATGAGCACAAATATTGTTGATATTTGAGACTGTGTCTAATATTATGGGCTAACGTGTCCCACATATTGACAACTACAGCTTTACGGTAAATTATTGTCAAATAGTGGTAATAACAAATTCTGTAAATTAATAAATATTGACGTTGGTATGGGACAGAGGTATAATGTCGAGAAAAGTATTAATGTTTAATGTGAGAATTCGGTCCCTATGACCCAAATAGGGCAAGCCTCAAGTATGAATGTTTCATGTGAGAATTCGGTCCATATGACCCAAATAGGGCAAGCCTCGAAGTCCTCACTTTGAGTAGGCGGGCCAAATTTGTCTCAGTCACTTCGAGCCCAGAACCTCACCCAAGAGGGTTTGCAGTACTGTACCTTTTGCATGTCCGCGCCGCGGATGACAACTTGATCCTCGCGCCCTTCCGGCACGCGACGACACGCGACACCGCTCCCCCCTCCCCCCTCC